GAAAACCTGTGGTTGATTAACCCAAGAAGACTTCTCCTGCTTTTTAAGTTGCTTCTTAGCAATGTGCAAACCTCCTTCATCATTTTCTGTTTTCTGTATTATTAAACTGAGAAAAGATTATTGAATAGTAATTTAATTGTTAACATATAAGAGATCACAGAATTTGCCGAGAAACTAACATCAAATATGAGGAGCGATCCCCAAACTAGGTATAACAGGGGGACAATGAGAACGAATCAGAGGGGGACCATGGAAAATTAAAAAAATATATATTACAAATTAAGCAATGAAAATTAGCATAGAAGACTTTGGACAGTTTTCAGGCTCCTGTGCTGTGTCACATGCACTGGTACAGGTAGAACATAAAAATTACATGAAAAGTAGCACTGAAAAAAAACCCTTTGTTTAACTGAATCTCTGCAAATTAGCTTCTTGAAGGTCAGACATACACTTGCACATCAATTGCCCTGGTTAGGATTTTATGTTGTTATTATGTTAGGTTCACTAACGTTCACTGTTATCAGCCAATCACATGGCAGCAACTCAAGGCATGCAGACGAGATCAAAATAACCTGCTGAAGTTCAAACCAAACATCAAAATGGAGAAGAAAGATGAATATCACTTTGAATGCTGCAAGACTGCTGGTGCCAGACGGGCCAGTTTGAGTATTTTAGAAACTGCTGATTCTGGATTTTTCACACACAGCCATCAGTTTACAGAAAATGCATTAAAAAGGCGAAAATATCTTGTGAGCAGCAGGTCTCTTGGTGAAAATGCTTTGTTGATGCCAGAGGTAAGAGATGAATGTCAAGACTCCTTTGAGCTAATAGGAAGGCTAAAAAAACATTACAACCAGGGTATGCAGAAGAGCATCTCTGAACACACAGCATATTGAACCTGCAGCAGCAGAAGACCACAATCGGTGCCACTCTTGTCAGCAAAACTTTTGTATGGGCTGAACAAGAAGATTGGTGTTGCCAGGTCTGATGACTCTCAATTTCTGCTGTGATTTCCAGATGATAGGGTTAGAATAAAAAAAAAAAACATGACAGCATGGATGTGTTGTAGTACAACCCCAACCTTTTTTGCACCACGGACCAGTTTATGCCCAACAATATTTTCACATGTTGCGGAATAATACAACAAAATAAAACCAGTACCGGTACCAGAAAAAATAAGATTTATTTATAAGACACGGGAAAAGACCCAGGGAAACCAAGTTAACGATAAAAACAATTTAAAAAATAATGTTAAAAACCCTGAGAACCATCAATTTCACACCCGAGCCTCAACTCTCGCAGCCCAGAGCAAACAACTCGCGGACCGACACCGGTCCATGGCCCGGGGGTTGGGTACCGCTGTTGTGGTATAATGATGTGGCTATATTTTCTTTCTTAGCATTGTTTAAATGTCACAGCTTACCTGAGTATTGTCCGTGACTATGCCCGTCCTTTTATGACCACAGTGTTGTGATGACCGTCTTCTGATTGCTGCTTCCACCACAATAACTCGCTGTGTCATTATCTCAAACTGGTTTCTTGAACATGGCATTGAGCCACTGTAATCAAATGACACAGTCAGCAGACATCAATCCAGTTGAGCATTTTACCCTCAGCAGTATAAGACTGATGGGGCATTGTCATCACCCCGCCGGGTGGGCGGCCAGGCAAGTGGCGTGCACACCTACGTTTGTGAATGCGATAACTCGAGGAAGAGGAGAGGTAGGCGTTTAAAATCAATAGCATAAGTGTATCTACTAAAAATATTGGACGAGTTCGAGTCTGACCTCAAGGTCAGAGGTCATGTTTTCTGAAAATCTTGTGAATGCGATAACTGGAGAACGAGGCGATGTAGGACTTTGAAATTTATACCATGCATGTATCTACTAGGAGGCTGCAGTGTAGCGCTGGCAGCTGCCAGTATTTTTAGGATGTGATGGAACAGGAGATTCACTTTGTGGATGTCCCCTATAATACATAACCCAAAAATACGGTTTTCATTCTCATATGAAAACTGTTCTAGGTCTTTTAATCTCTTAATTATTAGAGGTTTAGGTGTACCTGGTGCGTGCAATTCAATAACCTTTTGAAGGGAGCCATTCAAAAATGAGAGAATGAAGGGGTGAATACGTTTGCTTCAGCAGATCAGATTTAGAACAGGAGAGACGGTGAGGCTGCGAACAAAACAAACCGAAGAGGCCAAGAAAATAGAAAAGAGCAAGAAAGTGAGAGGCAGTGAGCAGGAGTGAGGATATGAGGGAGGGAGAGATGAATTATAGCCTACTCCTCAAATCAATAATCTTGCGAATCGCAGCCCCGGTGTGCTACAGATCTTCTTCTTTCCCTTAACCGAGCAAAGAGGGTGACAGATGTAAAGAGCACAGCCTGCCAATTTATGAGGCTCCCAGACAGACCAGAGAGAGATGTAGGGATAATCCTTTACTGCGCCTGAGGAGGCAGAGGGGCGAGGAAAAGCAAACAGGACTAAGACAAAAACAGAATGAACCTCTGGTCGCTCAAACAGAGCGTTTTTCTGCTGTTTGTTGATTTTCTTTAACTAATTCTCCATTTGTTTGGCATATCTGTTTCCTCTGACTTCTTCAAAAAAAACTGTGTTCTGCAGCAGGCTCTGTCTACACACTCCTGTACCGCCCTAACATGTATGTTTCCTCCTTTTAGCTCAGCTATCCATATTCAACCAAGTTCTTTTATAGAGCAAATGTTTTGCTGAGCAATTCCATGACAGATCTGGAAGTCTGATAGTTACCGATAGTAGTATTTCACCTTTCACTGTGTTCCTGCTAAATGGAGAGATTCCGTAGTATCCATTCTGTTGTGGCGGGTGTGGTTTGTGGTGACCTGCAGTGGAGACTGACACCTGAGTTTGTTGTTGTTGTGCCGTATGTGTGGCTGGCAGCTGGGAAGCTGCAGCCAGAGTTAAAAGAGCAGCAACCGGGAATAGTGTTACAAAGTGCAAATATGTGGTCGGGTCCGTCCTTACTGCCACAAACTTGTTCTTATAAATGATGCTGTACTTCCTCTTATTCTTATAACATGCAGATTGCATGGGGTCCTAAATCAGGAGATGTAAACACAGAGGGTGCAAGGTGCAAGGTGCAAACCACTGGTTACAGTCAAGAACAAGAATGCCAGATTAGACTGCCAGAAAAAAACCTAATAGAGCCTGCACATATATTTGGATGAAACCAAGATGAACTGATGCATACTGCAAACATGTGGAGGTAATGTTGGGCATGTGTGACTGCCAGTGGAACTGGGTCACTAGTTTTTATGGATGATGTAAGTGCTGAGAGAAGAAGCAGTGCTGCAAAACCGATCAGATGGCACTTCCCAGCGCACAGGGATAATGACCCAAAGCAAAGTGCAAAAAAACCCAAGAGTTTCTCAATTCAAAGAAATTAGATATTCTTCAGTGGCCAAGTCTGTAAACTGATCTCAACCTAGTGGGGCAGGTTTTTAAAAAACTGAAGACAAAACTAAAGGCAGAGAAACCCACAAACAAGCAGGAGGAAACCACGTTTGGTAACATCCACGGGTTCTACACTTCAGGGAGTCAAAGACATTTCCTCCAACTATCAAAAACATATATATTTAAAATTGTGTTTGTTTGTCCAGTTACTTTGGATAAACATTCTTGAAATGTTAACGTTTATAAAAAAAAGATTGTAAACAGTTAATGCGAGGCTTTTGTAAAACCCCTTAAATTAAAGCTGAATGTCGGCACTTCAATCACATCTTGACTGCTCTGGTCCAACGTGGCAATCTACAGAAGCAAAACCACAAGAATTGAGTCTTTGTCCAAAAAGTTATGGACCTATCTGCGTAGGAGTTTCCTTTCAGATGGTTTCACCCTAACATCTGTTATCCACAGTTTGACTGACATAGATGGTGACGTGTTGCTTTTATCACTTGTGTGTCTTGCCTTTTCGAGACTGTTTGTACGTGCATCATCAACTCTTTTATCCTCCTGTCTGTTCTACACAATATCCTAACAGCCATTTATCAAATCCTGACAGGGAAAAGTTCAGGGAAGTACATGTATTTGCCTTCTTGCTGACAGTTTGTGGAGAGGAATCATGCATCTCTCAAGTGTATACATTAAATTTAAAGCTAACGCCAGTTTCTGGCTAAATTAACTTAATAGGGAGTCAGTCCAATGGTAATCATCGCCTCTAACGCCCAACTTTACACTGTCTGTATTCTTATAAAGCGTACTGCAAAATGTGACGCATCCTAATGCTCCTGGCATAAAGACTCAACTGCGAATACTCTCATCTCTAAACTGCATTCATCTCAACTCCAGTGGCTTATTAACCTGTCACTCACAATATTTCAAACACAAGTGGCCCGATTTTCTTTTTTCGAACCCCCAAAAAACCCAAACTTTCCACTGAATCCCTGTTTTCAAAATAATCCGTGTCCCAGGAGTGACGCTACAGTCCCAGATCATAGCAAGGAGACTCATTTGTCAGGGTAACATGTTTACTTTTGCTTTGTTCGCTCGGTTTGTTTAATCACAAATATTTTAATTTTCTTGTCTCTGTGGGGTTTATTTTATGGATTTTTTATTTACTAGTAGAACTGGTGGTGACACAGAGGTGAAAAAAACAGATGACACTCAAAGCTGAAAACACCTGGCGCCTTTCTACACCGCACATTCAGCACCGGAGACAAAATTTGTTGTTTGAGAGCCTCGGGACGAAACATAAATGCAAATTCTCTTCTGCGTGTTATTGTGGGCTGAACTCAGCCTAATGCTGTTTCTTTTTTTGCAGTCTTTTTTGCAGCAGTGGAACATTTAGAGTCTACATTATGGAGCCCTTAAATCAATAATGTCTGTATCAATAAGTAACACCTACTTGTGTTTGCATAACTAAGCATTTTCTTGCACATTTAATGTCTGCAGCAAATCACCATTTTGTACCTCGGAGACCAAACTTTTGAACATCGTGATAATGATTTGTTTTTCTTTTAAACAGCCTGAAGACCACGCTGAAAAAGAAGCTTTCGGGAGACGTTGTCAACCTCTCGGGAATCCCGCTCTCCGGCCGGGATGTCCACCGCGTGGCCTTCTACCTTCAGAGCAGCAGTGACATGGTGTCCGCCGTAGACCTGAGCTTCACTGAACTGCAGGACGACAGCTTACGCATGCTGCTGCCCTACCTCAGCTGCTTGCCGAAACTCACCATACTTGCTGTTAATGGCAACCGTCTGACAGCGGCCATCCTGAAAGACCTGACAGATGTAATGAAGGAGCCCAAGAAGTTCCCCACGCTAGCCTGGATTGACTTGGGGAACAATGTGGATATCTTCACCATCCCGCAGCCGCTGCTCGTGGCGCTGCGGCGCCGCTTCGGTTTACGCAGCAGCCTCCCCACCATCTACGAGTACAGTGAGGCGCAGGCTTTCGGTAGCTATAACCCGAACATGGAGACCTCTGTGGAGGAGCCTAGTCTGTACGAGGAGGGAGATATAGTAGAAGATGATAGAGAGGAGGAGGAGGAGGAGGACAGACTGGAGCTTCAAGCCTGGGGCTTTGGAGAAGAAAGCATGTCAAAAAATGTGCCGGTGCACTTCTGTGGGAGGTGATCACCCAGAGCTGCTTTCTTTTTGACTGGCAGCCTTGCATATCCCTCTGTATCACCTTGCTCCTCCTGCGTTAGCCGATGTCAGTGTGGTAGAAGATGCTTACAGTGACCCACACGTTTCTGAAAATAACTTTAAAATAAGTAAATGTGCTGTGTGTCCCTTTGGATGCTCTGACTACTGAAATTAAATGTGAGAATATGCTTGTGGACTGATTTATCCTTCATTTATCCAGGGGAGTCTGAACTGATCCAGCTTCCAGTGCTTCATCTTACTGAAGTTGTGTGCTTGTCCCACTTGGAAGCTGGAGCAGCTGTGGATTAAGTGCCTTCCACGAGGGCACATCAGCAGTAGCTGCTGAGGAAGAGGGGAGTGTTATTAATTCACTTTCTCTAAGCACATCCTTTCTTTTTTCCATTCCTTGCCTGAATATGTCAGGGTCTGATATATATGTAAGTAACTATATATCCTGCATAGGAAACACTTAAGAAACAGGAACATTTAACTTACTTAGAGAAGAAAGAGTATGGAAAGTATAAGCAACAAGTTGACTGTAATGAGTCGTTCATCAGCACTCCTGATCCAAGACTGTACACTGGGTAATTATTCACTAGAGCCAGCTGGAGGCACTATATTAGTGATTCGTTCATAGTTATCCATAAAGTGAGGGGTTTGATTGAAACACAAAGTGATAGAGTAGTCATGAGGAACTGCTGAGGCCACACAGACAGAGTAACAAATGTTAAATATTAATTAGATTTTTAGTAATGAATAAGCAGTTATTGTTTTGGGTTGATGAATATTTGGATCAGAGTTGATGAATTTTTGTATGATTATGAACCAGTCCTCCTCCCCCTCCTCCATCCCACCCAATCCCTAACATCCTGTCACACCAACCCTCTGCAATTACTCCTTCACTACATCTTTGAATCTCTTTTGTGGTTTTCCTCTTTTCCTCCTCCCTGGCAGCTCCATCATTAGCATCCTTTGTCCATTATCTCCACTATCCCTCCTCTGCACATGTCCAAACGTTCTCAGTATTGCCACTCTAACTTTGTCTCCAAACTATGAGTACCACCATCTCCAAGTCATACACCACCGCAGGTCTCACTACCTTCCTGTAAACTTTCCTTTTGACTCTCGCTGCTATCCTTCTAGCACTCATCATCTCCACCCTGCCTGCACTCTCTTCTTCACATCTCTTGTGCACTACCTCTCTCTTTGGATGGTTACCCCCAGGTGTTTCACCTAATGACACACTAATATCGTATTTTCCAGCTGGTTCTGTAGGAAGTAATTGTCAGAAGTTCGGGTGGGAGAGCACTGATGAACGACTGATTACACATCGGTTCATTCCTGAGTCATTCCTCTCTTGTTCTAACTAAGCAAGTTTTTTTCTGCCCTTTATTGTAAAATCTTAGAGCTTTTTTGTGATATGTATGTTTTATCTGGAAATAAAGTAATTCTGTTTTCATTAAATATGATTTCAGTTTTGCTACAGCTGGGACTCTGCATTTCTTCAGGAGTTATTTTTTTTAATCGATCAGTTATGATAAGCTAAAGCATACTGAATGATGCTTCAAGTCCGTGCCGATGTGCCGACAGAAGCCCTGATGCACGCATGGACACATGCTGGCAGGAGCACACAGAGTTTGTGAGCTGCTGATGAACTGGTTACTGTCTCTATCAAGGCTCGTTATGCCCCTTCAGTCAGAGACGGTGTACAGAGGATCTACTTTTTTTCTCAGCAAATAGGACCGTAGCCCCAGATCATTTCGTCCAATGGCGATCATCGAATGATTCCGTTTATGAATCAGACAACAAGAAACGAGAAGGAAACCGCCTATTTTGAAGATATTCTCACAGTTTTGTAGACTACAAGCAGTTCTGCTTTTTCTTTCCCTTTCTGCTGTTACGCTCCCACGGACAGATCAGATTTTGTTGTGGCATGAGTTTTGTTTGTTTGTTTTTATATATATGGGTGGCTGCCACCCTTTTGTATTGGTTTTAACAAGTGGGCATGACTATTTACTGTAACACAGCATTTAACCCGCAGACAGATAGCATCTACGTGTGCACTACATTTCCAAATACATTTCAAATTCTTTTGAATGGGGAGCTTGATGATTTCTTAAAAAAAAAAAAACTGCTGTCTGTGAATACAGCTCACACTTTATCCTACCAGTATTAATGTGGTCTGTTCTCTTTCAGTGCTGTTATTCATGAAATTCAGAGTATTTGTGTTTACAGGGGGACATTAATGAAATGAATCCTTGGCTTTTGTGTGTCTGTGAGATGGTAATTAGACTGTGTGCATGAGTGTGTTTTGAACATGCAGAGTAAATTACTACCTTTGATCACAGAAATGAAATGTTTACTCATTTGCGCAACTCCGTCCCTGAATTCGCAATCTTTCCTGTTTTTATTGTTAATATAAAAATAAACGAGTGACTCAGCTGCATAGCAGAAATGAAAATCTGTCCACATTCTCGATTTGATAGATAAGACGTTGACCTTCCTGGAAATTCACTGCGGTAAAGTCGTTTGAAAGTTTACTCAAATTTGACTTTGGCTCGCGAGCCTGCTGTTCCTTCAGAAGTAAACACAGTTTGAATAACATTTCCCTTCTGTGGACTTGTTTCTCGCTAAAGTGAGAAATAATTCTGTTTGGTGAAGCATCTGGATCGCTCTGCTTACATAGTTTGTCTCCTTAAGAAGAAGGAGAGCGATCGCCCTTATTTACTCTGATACTAGTCATTCCTTTACCGTGTACCCACATCCATCCACGCTGACTTTGTCAAGCTGCAGTTTTGACAGCTCGCTTGTCTAGTTTAGAACAGGGGTGGAAAATCAAAACAGGGCACTCATGGGAGCGTGTGACCAGTATAATCACTGGTTCGTTAACACAAAGGACCGGTTTCACACCATAAACATTCATTCGTTACTCTGTAGAAACACTAAACAGTCTCTCTTTGTTTTAAGCCTGCCATGGGAAAACATACCCACATTTCTGTTTTTCAGGTTTTACCGGTGCTTTATACTCTGTCAGTCTTATAACTGGGAAATTTACTCATCTGACTGGAAAGATGTGTGTCAGATCTATGGGGGCATAAGGTATATTTGATGTTTGTATTTTTATGACATGCACGTATATATATATATGCTTTAAAGAGATATATTCCTCCCACCACAAGTTGCACCTAAGTCACTTTGCCTGGAAAGCACATGCGTACTCTCATTCATCAGGAATACTTTAAACATTTTCAAGGGGCTCCAATTTCAGCAGCTGGTTTCCATGTTTCATGTTCTTAGTGCTGCGTAGAGATGAGAACAGTTCCTTGTACGGGCCTGTCAGAGGCACCACCATATCAACATCCTGATGGCTAGTTGTGGCTCTACTTGCAAGGCATTTTTATGTTTGCAGGAGCAGAGCCTGAGGCTGTCCATCTGTGATTCCTGTCTGTCCCTCTAAAGGAAACACAGGAGTGTCAGATAACAGAGGATGTTGTTCTGGTTTGTAGAGGACGCCGAAACACTATGCAGACATTTAGAGAAAGAAAGAATGTATGCTTTATTGATCCCCGTGGGGAAATTCCTCTCTGCATTTAACCCATTCACTCAGTGAGGCAGTGGGCAGCCATTGGGCACCCGGGGAGCAGTGTGTAGGGATGGTACCTTGCTCAGCGGTACCTCAGGGTAGCTGTTCAGGGGAATCGAACCCCTGACCTTCCGATCACGGGGCCACCACTCTACCTACTAAGCTATCCCTGCCCCTATTTACCTCTGGAGCCTCACATCTGTGCAGTTTGTGACTACTGTCTCAAAAATCAGAGTGGACAATAATAAAGCATATTTACTTATTGTAAATACTTTTACTGGCTGGGTTTAGTTTCTCTGCCTTTCAAAACAAAGATCAGAGGTGTAACACTGCCGTTGGGTGTATAACTATTATATTTCTTCGGGCATTCTCGTTAAGATGAAAATCGAGCACAAAGTTTGAACAAGAAAAAAATGCAGCAGCAAAAACAACACATCACACTAAACAAAGAATCATTCAAATGTTTTAGGAGTCCTAAAGTACATCAACGCTCACACACTCCTGTCTCATCGGTCCACTTTTAGCTTTGATGGCAGCGCACATTTGTCATGATGTTGCATCGGTAAGATTATGCAGTGTCACATTTATTTCTGTCCAGAAATTGCATTATGTTTTCACCAAGTGTAAAGTCTTCTCCAGAACAATCCCCAAAATTCTGAATCGGGTCAAAATGAAAACTCTGTGGTGGCCAATGCATGTGTAAAAATGATGTCTCTCACATTTTGAGCCAGATGAAACCCAACATTGTCATCCTGGGATATGGCATCCGGAAGAAGAAAAACCCCTGATGGAAAAACCTGGTTATTCGGTATGTTCAGGTACATGGTTGGCCTCATTTTTGGGCACCTGGTGTTACTAAACCTAGACCAACAGTCCACTCCAAGCCTCTATTTGTTTAGTTCAAATCCAGTGGGAACACTTTTTTAGCCAAGAAGTATATATAAACATGTATTCTTCCTCTTTCTCTTTCTCTTAGTTTGACGTCATAGGTAAATGTCACAGACATTTTCTACAGAATTTGGAAAGCAGAAGACATCAAAGACTTCCCATTCATCTAAACCGAGGGTAATTCCTCAACAGGTTTTACTATGAATCTGAAGTTCCCTTAAACAAGAGAAATCCACCAGTAAAGCTTTTATGGATTACCTTTGAATTATCAACCATTACATCCTCCACCTAGTATGTGAGCAGCGGGAATAAAATGCTGCTTTCGTGTCAGTCCAGGAATCATTTATCACCAAGTTTTAAAATGGAGCTTTTGAATGTACGCCACTGGCATGTGCTGTAGCCCCCTGCTGAACATGATGTACATGTGATAAGGCAACGTGAGAACATAGCTGCAGTTTTATCATCTCAAAGTGTTTGCACATATTTTGGGATAGATTGCACTCCAGGGTTTTCTGAACCAACAGTCCAGTTCCTTACTCATTGTTCTGGGTCTTCTCAGGCATGAAATGCATATTAGCAGGTTAGCAAACACACTGCATTACAGTCATGTTTCATGTTGGCAGCAAAGGGAGTTTATTCATTCACTCAACTTTCAAAACAGGGAGTGCTGGATTTTCTCTGGAGCTAAAAAAGTAACAATAAAACATTTTAAAAGACGTCATAGCTACAGTGTAAAAATCTGTTCATTTGTGATAAATTATTATTGAGTACAAATAAAAAGTGAAATAAAGTAAAATAAAAATGATTTTCTTCTATTAATTGCATGAGCTAGAGTATAAGTATAGCACAATTGTATTTCAGTAGATTGGCTCCATTCAAAATATTGTGACTAAAACTGCTTTTTCTGTGTAATAAAAATACAGTACACCAAATACTTGAACATTTGTTTAACTTCTCCTGAGATGTGCATGAACCCAAGCCTTTAGTGAGCAGTGGATTGCTCTTTTCTTGGAAAGCATACATGCTCCATCTAGTGGCGTTTGTTGGCTGCACAGAGCCAGCTCCGGATGTCAGCTGAAAGAAGAGCTTGTTAGTGCAAGCGGTAGTTCAGAGTTTATTCCACTCATCCATGCATTTCTGATCTCACCAGGAGAACAGATGAGAAACTGCGGTAAATGTGTAATTAATAAAGCAAACACACATGGCTTATTTCTTCCCTACCTCAACAAAAAGCGATGGGGGGACCAATCAGTCATTCCCATAGTATGCTTTGTTTCACAATCCTGGAGACTGATAGCTTCTGGACTCTCTCCCAGAGTTTGTAGTCCTTGAGTTTGAACTTGTCATATGGTTCTCATCCAAAGTTAGTTTCTACAGACAAAAGAACACAAACCACCTCCAGAAATGCGGGGGTTCCATAAACACTGCTTCGAAAGTGGTCTTTGCTTTGGTCTTCCTCATTTGTGGCAGTCAAAGAATACAATTTATTTCTCACGGGAAAGCACCTTGTCCACTAATGTTGATTTCCTATCAGTGACAAGGTCTTCTTTTATAATTTGCATAACTAGCAGCGTAAATCAGTTTCATAAATCATAAATCAGCGCTGGCTTGTCCCTGGCTTATCGAAGAATAAAGAAAGCAGAAACGGCTGTTCAAATCCCCACAAGGCTGCCCACTATGTTGATTGGAATGATGGAGCGAGCCGTGGCTTCTCAGAATGGGCGCATTAGACGCAGCACGGATGACATCTTGGAGAAGCTTGCAGCTGCGTTGAGTGCTGAGACTCTGACAACGTCTTGGAGAGGCTCACGGCTGTCGTGAACACTCGTGCTCTATGAGCAAACTGGATAACATCTTGGTGTAGCTGGATAACATCGTGGAGAGGCTCACGGCTCTCCAACGGGAATGGTGAGGAACCAGTGATGGACGTTAGATCGACTGTAAAATTGACATGCAGTTTTTCGCATATGCGGCTACCATATCGGCACCAGCTGCGGTCTCAAGGCTGGAGCTGAGCATAACAAACAACTTCTCCCCTGATAACAAACTGTGTTTGGACTCTTCGTTCCAAACGCCCTTGTATGCTTATCTCCAAGGCCGAGTCGGACGGCGGGTCTGGCCCAGCGCTGGATGAATAGTTGCAGGGCAGGATGGCTGTGTCTGGATCGGCTTACTTCTCACCCCTTACCCACCCCTGTTGCTTGTCACGTGCTTCATGATGTTGTGATGTGGACATTCATGTGCTTTTTGTGCAGAGGAGGTTTTTTTTGTTTTCTGTTCTCATGCTGTCCTCCCATAGGAGCCCAGCATGAGTAGAGGTCTCTTTTTTCCCCTCCTGGACTTGCCCATTGTATTGTACATTTCAGTGTTTTTCCATGGTACTACCGGTCTCCTCCCTATGTGATGTCTGTGTTGTGTATGTAAGGTCGGGGGGCAGGGGGTCCCATTTCGCTGCAGGGCAACTTGCATGTGACAAAGGCTTTCTTGACTTGACTTTCTTGTGTTTTTGTATTTTGTTCTTTATTTATCCCATGGTTCCCAGGTTGTTCGGTTAAGTTTATTAGATTTCCCCCATGTCTTTACCCCATGTGCCCCCCCCTCCCCCCCATGTATATCTGTGAGTTCCCGTGCCTCGTTTCTCCTCCTTGTGTTTTATTCCATGTTTTCCCCAGCCCGTTATGTCTGTGCTCTTCCCGTGTTCTCTCTCCCTCCAGTCTGCTTCTCTGTGTACTTCCTGTTTTACTTTGATAGTCTCCCGTCAGTATACGTCATGTTGTGTTTGCTCCTGCCCTGTCTCGTTATGATTTGAGCCCTCACACTAGCAGATTTTAGTGCATTACTGTTTTGCATAAAAACATTTAATTTGATGATGTTATCAGGATATCTAGAGAAAACAAGCTGATGCTATGATTTTCAAAGTCATCCTTTATTTCATTTTTAGGTTGTTATAGCAGATAAATCTCACTTAAAGCACAAATTTAGAGAGGTGTCAAAGAGAGAGTCTGTAACTCTAATTGCAGAAGAGCGTAACAGTTGAACAATTACTTTTAACTAATAAAAAAGCAACCGCATGAACTGATTTCCACACATCTTCTGTCAGTTACAAGCTAACTGTAACAATGTAAGCCAGGATCCATCTGTGGTCACCACATCAAAGACTTTATATAAAATCTGTCCTGTTGCACAAGAGTATGCTCTTCCTGTAAAACTCTAGAGTGTACCTCTAGAGTTTTACAGAATAATTTAACAAAAGATTTGTTTAATAGCCAAAAATGAAAGCACACAAAAAGAAACAGGGTCACAAACAATAAAGCAGAACATCACAAAAGGGACCATAAAAAGCAAAGAACTTAACAGCCAGACAAAGATTTGGAAACACATAGGACTACAAATATATAAATATATATCTCAGGGCACTGAGACAGAATGAGGGAGGGGCAAAAAAAATCACAAAAGGAAGGAAAGGAACAGAAAATAAAACTGTGTGACACAACACAGAACAGACATTGAATGTAAAACAGGATATAACTCCCAGAAAAATAACACTGAGACGTGGGAACCGCACTACACTAGAGGACAGAGAGAGGTCAAAGCCATTTAGACATGACCAGATCAGAAGGAGGAAACACAGATGGAAATAAATTAAAACAAGCGATCGTACACAAAGAGAAGAATTCAAACGCTTTAACACCACTGGAACAAAAGAGCCTTTGTTCGTGATGGCTCGATCAGATCAGAACTTGAACAACTAGAAGCAGCAACCACCAAAAAGTAGTTTAAAGATGCGTCGAACATGCTGGATTATATGTCTACCTCTACTTGGTTGCATGTTTTTAAAATGAAAGAAAAAAGTAGAACTCTTCCATCCTGCAGTGCAGCCACACAGTGCAAAAAATATTCAGGTCGAATCTAAAACTCTAAAGTGTGTCACTGCTGGCCTGAAGGGATCCACAAATTTATTTTAATGTGGCTACGTGAAATAAAATCACCATAAGGTCACTGTTTGATGTACTACTGTGGATGACAGTGAATTTAAAGAGAGTCGGCACTGTACTCACTTCACACACAACAATGCGTCTTGTGTAGTTACCTCAGATGCACTTTTTCTCTCCTGCACCACTGCTGCAGCAGCTGCGCGTATTTCAAAGACGCATATTTTCTGTAGGATTTCGTAATATTACACACTAAGAACATCGGGAGCATCCTTCATGCCTGCGGCTTCCTCGTGTCTGAACGATAATAACTCACTGAAGGCTATCTGCTGCCCCCTGCGGGCTTTCAGCAGGTACTGTCTATGTGAAGAAAGAAAACCCCTCTAATCTTCTTACTGCAGACGATATCCTTGTGCGCACACAGACGCACACGCGCGCACACAAAGAGAGGGGCTAAATGTGCCCGTAAATAAGACTGTAAACGCATTTAGTTTTGGTACAAACAGACAGAAATAACACAGCGTGTGCTGGTGCGGAAGATAAGCTTAGTTATCACCTCTTCCTGCAGATACGACCCCTTCAAGCTGATGTGTTATATTTTGCGATTTCAAGGAGTTTTCATTGTGAAAGGCACCAAATTTGTGTGAGGGCTGTTAAAGCTGACCACCTTATTATAATGCTTATTGCTGCTAAGTCACCAGAATAAACCAACGCTGAGGAGAAAAAAAATAGCGTGATTCGTCTGGCACGCTCAGATGCGTCCTTACGCACAGGCGTGAACGCCTACTCCGGTGATGTGTCGGGGCGGATTGGCTGCTAAAGATACCAGCGCCCGTGTGCTCTTTGTGATTGGCTGTGGCTGTCTTGGCCATTACGTTATGCTTACTCCATACACACTGGTAGCCGGAGAGAGGGAAGACGTAATGGTTTGATTCCGTGTGCACTTGCAATGGTCGTCGTTCTGACATTACTCGGCAAATTCCTCAGACGAGAGGTGCAATGAAGGTATGTGCCTGTTTCTGCAGCTCGTTTGTGATTTGGATTGTTAACGAGGCTCATGCGGTGCCGTGATGTGCAGGGGGTGCTGCATCGAGAAGCAGGGAATATCCCCATCCTAATGCCAGTTAATTTCATTTGTGTGCAGTTGTATCAACAGGCTTGAACGCTGCAGACACTCTTTAATTTTTAACTTGCCATCACATTTCATTACTCGCCGCTGTCATTCCAGCGCCTGACAGTCTGGGGTTTGCATTATTTTCCTGTCGAGGGTGCAAGCCTGGAAACGCTTTCCCCACGTCTCCAGCCGTCCTGATAAACACTGGGTACAGTGTGTAGCCTTTTAATGAGCCTGCTTTGACCCCAGAGTGCTAGTTCAGTGGCCAGAGCGACATCCATTCATCGTCAGGCTTTAATCCGCTCTAACGAGATAGAGATACTGCGGCCGGTGAGTGAGAGAGCGTGGGGATGTTCGGGAGACGTCTCGGGATACCGAGAGGGTCACCTCTCAGGTCCAAGCTGTGTCAGGCTGTGCAGGAGTCTCCTTCCTCTCAGTGTGCGCTTGTGTATATGCGTGTGTTTGTTTGTGTGCGCCTGTGCTGTAGCAGCTACAGGCTGCAGCATAGGAAGGAAAGGTGATGAAGCTGTCTGGCAGCTTAGGACAGATAATGATGAAGACTACAGCGATGATGTCATTGGTCCTCTGGTGGTGGCAGGTTTCTGGTGGCAGTCGGTGTGAAAGGTGAAGTGAAACAGCAGCAGCATCAAGGAACGTGAGTGTACACAGTACGAAAACTGTGCTGCTGTCGGTGGCAGTTGACACTTAGTCATCTGTTACAGTTAAAGCTGACTGGATGATTTTTTTTAAAGCTCATCGCATGCATCAGTGATTACCTTAAAAGGGAAATGTCCCCCTTTTAATAAATAAAGCCTCTCTTAATTCCAGAGGTGCAAAATAACCAAATACATAGCTTTTTAACTCCTCACTAAAGCACTGCTTTGGATTGGCGTGTCTCTTTTTTCTGTGAAATCCTTTTCCTACGATTCATAATGAAATGATATGTTCTTTGTGCCAGGTCAGGCTGTTTCTTTAGTCACCCCGAAGTGGCCCAACACACAGCAAACTTATGGAAGCATCATCAGCACTGAAATGCTGCAGGGATTTCAGCAGATGGAACATTTTCTGAAACATGCCACTGAAACATTTAAACAGAAGGGCGTTTTAGCTTCTTGCGTGGTTTGTGTGTATGGTCACATTTTCTCACTTTGCAGCATTTCTTGTAAATGTTGAACATGTGTTGGCCCATCACCCCGTCGTCTGTTTTCCTGCACGTTTTAGGCTGCAGTGTGTTGAGGAGGGTTTTGTTTTTGTTTTTTTTAATATTATTTAGGTTTTGCCTGCCAAATTTTTACAGTCAAGTCTCTAAAGATTGCTGGATTGTTATAATATTTGATGTTTATTTGTGTTATGTAGGTTTTCTTTTACTAATCCCCCTTTTTTCTTGTTTTGGAGCTATGCTGCTCTTCTGTTTAGCTTTGGATTCATCAGTGTTATTGTAGCTTCTCATTTGGCTCTTAGTGGGTAAAAAGGGAAATATTTTTTTCTATAGTTGCAATTAGTGGTGATGCACCCATCTTGAACTTGTGAGCCAATTCTGATGCTTAAAATAACCATTTGGCTGATTACCAAAGAAGTTGTTTGTTTTTGCAGTTTTCCTCCTGTGTGCTAAGAAAACAAGGGAATAAAACTCCCATCATATCACTATATTCAAACATTAAACAGGCGCAAAATTTATGTGGCACAGCAGAAAAGACATTTTGGCCAGAGTCATCAGTAAATGTCATCCCATTTGCTGGCAGGTTGATGGCAGCGAACAGGGACGATATTGATGTTTGGCTGATATATCGGTGCATTTGTAGCTCTTAATGGTTGCTTTTAACTAACTTGATTTTATGTGCAAGGCCCGTCCTCGTAAAATAGAAGCTTTTTTGGAGAATAAGTGAGCTGGGGTTCAGGTTGAAATCACAGAGGACGTGATTTTTGACTGAATGGCTGTTCTGAAAAATTTTTTTTTTTTTTGCTTGCAGATTCAACTAAGACCTTTTTTCTTTTTTAATGCCTCCCTTCCTCCCCGCCCCCCCCCCCCCCTCCTGTTTATCGCAATATTGTGGCAGATAAGAAAACAGACGGCTTAACTCTGTGAAGTTAATTTTCCCGAGGCACATCATCACTCGCTGTGTCCCGGGAAAGCAAAATGGATGTGACGTTTTATTGACTAATCTGGTTTAAATTGAAAAGCAGCTTTTCTGCCCCTGTGGACGGGACGGCGCTGGGTTGTGTAAGCATGCATCTCAAAACGGGAAAGACTGCTGTACAGTCTGTGCTGCCAGTGCCATTTTATTCAGAGTTAAACCTCTGACTTAAGTGGTTGGCTTTTTCTTTTTTTTTTTTCTTTATGTTGCATTTAAAAATTCTCGTTTTCACGGCCATCTCGAAGCCCATATTGGGCATGGTGGGAGTAAATAGTCACAAATCCCCGCTTCCAGTGTATCACACTTTGTTCCAAATGGGACTAAACTGACTGAAGCTATAAAGAATCAAAGGGGTGCACGAGATTCCTGGTGATATTTCATGACAGTTTTTATATTGCAGGACTGCAGGACTCGGCATCTGTTTCCAGGGCTAAATCCAGCCAAGTCGTCCTTTGCCTTCAGAGTAGACTTTGTCAATTTCACATTTTGCACGCACAAATCCAACTTTGCCTGTAGCAGTTTGATTTGCACATGCATATTTCTCCAGACTTTGACATCTGCATCCTCCAGCAGACATCACTGACTGTATTTGTGTCATAATTTAAATGGAAAAATATCACATTTAGCTCCATCATCTTCAGACAAATGTCTAAAGGCGTTAAATCAATTAGTTATTTTTTTTTTTCTGAAACCATTATCTCCGGTATAAACAGGCAGCCAGCTGAATTCACTTTTCACAGTGTGAGTGACATTTGCAGTTGATACAAGAGGGGGGAAAACTGAGAGAGATTCAGGAGAGGGAAAGGAAATGAAAAGGCGGGAGAGAGGTGGTGGATGGTGGAAGATTAGCGTTGAAGGCCCCTTCAATAAAATGTATGACAGTGCACAGTTTTCTCTCAAAAGTCCTCATAATAGACTCTGGTTGGTCCACATGTGCGTGCAGACTTGCAGAAGTCAGCCCCAGGTGTCATTTGTATCATTTAGACAGATGTAGCCAGAGTACTTTGGGTTTTGTTTTTTTTGTTTAGATTTCACTCCTTTAACAGAAGAATAATATCCACTTTTACAGATTTCCCTCTGTTTATCAAAGCCTTATGCTTACATTACCACAAACATCATTCAGAGGTTCACATTGAGTACTGCTACAAGAAGCCAAGACCCAGCCGATGACTTAATTCAACAATGCAACGTGCGTCAGTGCTTTCCGAGTCCTGCAAACACTTAAAAATACATCTTAAGTTTTGCAGTTGTGTTTCTTGCAAGGGGGAAAAGGTAAAGGAAGAGGGATGGGGACGTGACATCAACAAAGGTCACCATCGATAATCAAATTATGCTATCGGGACACTGCAATGCACCAGTAAAGCACTCCCATTTAAAGTATTTAAAGTTTATTTTCCTTCTACGCTGAATTCCATTATTATTATTCAATTCCTACATTTCCCATAGTGCAACTTGAGTAATTTTATTAGAACCCCATCCTCGTGTTGTTTTTGTAGCTGGCTTGATGCATGTTAGTCTATATTCAAAATGTCAGTTATAAGGACAGAAAATAAAAGTAAAAGCAGTGTCAGAGCTCCAAGTAAAACAAAGTCATTTATGTTAATTATATAGTCCAATTCATGTGCACTTATGTAATTTCAGCTCTGCGTGAGAGTCTCTGCTGCCACTTTGCTGCTCTCCTGTCCTCTCTGTTTCACTGTGGGGTCAGCGTGTTTGCTTACTATTACATATCCACGTCCAGAGAAAGAGAAGATCTTTTGTTTGAGAGACTGTTTCTTCATTTGATGTTTAGTAGTTCAGAAATGCACAAACGCTATCAAAAGTCACCCAGTACAGTTTGAAGCAAGGTTAAAATCGTCTGTCTCAGTATGTGACTCATTTCTCCAGTTTGCGTCAGTCTGTCAGTGACCCATTTAAGCCTCATCTAGGTTCTCATCCCGGTTACACTTGTGGATGCTTGGGCAGTTTTTAAGTTTTTATCTTCTAGGCTCATTTTATGAGGTCGGCTAGCTGTTTGGCCACACAAGGCTCTCCCCTGTGGGTTTTTCTATTTAAATCCATGCCTCTGTTAGATTTTGCTACTTTCACACTTTAAGCTTGTGTGTAGGGGCTAGTCAGTGTGATGGCTGAACCCCAGCAGCAGTGTGTGAAATGTGACAGGTGACAGGAATGATAAAAATGCACAGTACAGTATCCCCAGAGGTATCATTCAAGTTAAGACTGTTGAGTGAAGATAAAACAAACAAAACAAAGCAAAAAAAAAAAAACTAAATCGCTGCCCTACATGTGATGTTTGCACTTGTCACTTGTTTATTCAGGACTCCCTGCCTACAGAGCTCGCAGTGTGCTAATTGAAGTGACACGGGGAACTCGTGCTGCTGGCTTAAAGCCAAATAAGACTGTTTTCATGGCCAGGCTGCAGTGGCTCCTCATCCTGGAGAATGCAGTAAAATTCCTTTTAGTGGCTTCATTCCCTTATGAGAGAGGTTTTATCTAACCGGAGACTTCTTAGCAGCTAACCACGGGGTCAAGTTTGTGCCACAGGCGAGTAATACAAGATTTAGTGTAACTCTACATAAATATATCTGGATAAAGTGAGCAGCTTGTGGAGGAATGTACCAAGGATAAGCAGCAATCTATAAAAAACAAATAAAACCTATATAATAAAATTAAAAATGTACTTTTATTATATAGCGTTTTTTTTATATATATATATATATATATGTTTATAGATATTTATTTCATTAATATAACAT